ACACACACATACACACACACACCCACACACACACACATTCACACACACACTCACACAGTCCTAACTGGACTTTAAAGTCACAGGGAAGAAAGGAGTATTTTTCATCATTGTATGTTGTGAGTAGAATGTTTGTTTTTTCTCATTTGCTAACTGATAAATCCCTGTGCATCAAGGACATCTTCTCTAATCCACAAGCTGGATTCCCTGTCCAATTCTATTTTTCCTCTATTTCTGTGCTTATCAGGAACCATATTGAAATTTTGTTTACATATCCATAGTCTCCTCAAAAATAGTGACCTTGTTTTATTTACCATTTTATTACTAGCCATTATCACATAAACATCTTAAGTCTATCCCTCTCTCCAAAAAAGATTTAGATATGTATAAGGAAAGAGAATTTAAAAAAAAAAATTGGATGCTTCAAAACTCAATTAATGATGATATGGTGAAAACAATGATCTTATCCGGCACCACATGTATAGAAAAATTTTATTGTTACCTACCTACCCTATTGTTAGCATTTATTTAGTGCTAGAAACCAGTATATCGCTAAATGAAGTGTTAATGTTATAAAAAAACTATCACAAATTTAGATTTTACTTTTTACTTTCATTTGTAAATGACATATGGCATTTTTAATAAAGAATGTGTTTCTTTCATACCAGATAAAGCCACACGTTTTTTTTTGTTTGTTTGTTTGTTTTAGAAAAAACATCTTCAATTGTGTGTGTGTTTCCTTCAGATATCTCCTGTGCATGTGCTTTATATTCTGCAGTATTCTTTATAAGGTGGAGGCCAGACTATAAATATTTATGAAAACTTTTTTTCTCACTTAAACAATATAGATCTACTAATGTCAGCATGTACCATTTAAATTCAGTCATTTTTAGGCTTCATAGGATCCTGTATATTTTTGAAGAGTCATCCACTTGAAAACATCACTATAATAAGTTTTTTACTTTTATGGACAATATTGCAGTGGCCATCCGTTCACACACATCTCTGCATATCTATGTCTATGTATCTACATAATAGCTTTAAACAACGGAGATTGTTCAACAAAAGAAAATGAAATTTTTAGTATTTAGATAAATACTGATATGGCCAAATTACCCCTCAAAAAATTTGAGAATTCACCTTTCTACAGGAAGTTCTGCACATTAACAACTCTGTGAATTATCAAACTTGCATACTTGGTAAGTAAACACTGGCATCTCTTTTTCTTTTGTGCTTTATTAAATTACTGGTGAAATTTGAGATTTTGTATAATTAACGGGTTTCTTATTTCTGTGACTACCTTGCTGATGTAACTTGCACATTCTTACTTGGTTATAGGGTAATTTATTCCTTACTAATTAAAAACTCCTTCTACAATAAAAATTAGTTCTTTGTCTGCCTTATATTTTTACAAATATTTCAGTTTATCTTTTATCTGATTAGATTTAGCATAATTTTTGACATCTATATTTTAAAATGTTTATTTGTTTAAATTGATACCTTATGTCTTCATAATCATTGGAATTATTGAAAGTTTCAGTTTTTATAGTTATATCATGGATTTATTTACTATTTACATTGTTCTTCAAAATATATTTTTGGGCTGTTAAAGGGATTCTTTTTTTGTTTTGTTTTGTTTCCTTTTTTCAAATCATGTCCCTGTCAGACTTTCTAGGGATGAGATTCTAGTACAAATAAATAACTGTTCTCTTACTTCCAGGAATCTTAGGATGAATAGTCCCCTTTACAGTATGTAGCCAACCAAAAAATATATCTGTTAGACAAAAGAAACATTGTAATAACATAAAATATATTCTAATGAATCAAGAATAGATTCTGGAGCATCCCCTGGCATTTTGTTGTTTTAGAATTATTCCACAATAATTCTAATTTTAAATAATTATAATTTTTTAAAAACTATATCAAAAATGAAAACTCAAACAGTGAAGCTACATCTAGCTTAGAAATCTTTTCCTGTTCCAATTCTTACTAACCACGTGATTTTAGTTAAACCACTTAATTCTACATTTTGGTTTTTTGTAAAGCAAGGCTAATCATAGCAGTGACCTCCTGATGATATAAGCATGAAATTAAGTGGCACACAATGCCTGGCACATGTTAAGTGCTCAATAAATATTCCTTGTAGTTGTTTCTGTGATCATTATTACAGTAGACATGGCAACCTGTAGTTCCAGTTACTAGAAACACTGAGTGTTTTGTGACAATCAATTACAGATTTTCTGCAGAACCCAAAGTCCACTTTCAAAATATCCAATCTCCTTTTAACTACTGATCAGAACTTGTATGGATACAATTGATTCTACAGTTGATGGCAAGATTAAGATTCTGAAATCAGCTGGTAGCTACACCTCAGGCAGAAGGAAACATTGCTCCCATAGCACAATCACTTGGCATCACAAGTACATAGTGGAAGAGAAAAGGATTGAGGATTTCATGTACCATCGCGAATCAAGGCACTTAATGGAGAATGACACCACTGTTTCTCATCTGAACCCAGAAATTTCCTCGCTATTCATTTTGATTCAGTATTAGGTTCCATTCTTTAGTTCTTGGGTCCATATTAAAATGCCAAATTTGTCCAAATACTGATTCATAATTCAATTTAGCTGCATGTATTTAAGGGCCAACTAAAGAGCTTAAATAGAAAATTTATTTTCTTAAGACAGGTCTTGAGATTGGCAGGCCAGGGCTGGAACACCAGTTCTGTGATTGCATCGTTTTTCCAGACTCTTTTGTCTTTGGGTTCTTTGTCAGCAAGAGGCTTTCAACTTATCGTTGCAAGTGGCTGCTGCATTTCTACATTGCATCTCTATTACAGGCAGCAAGAAAGGACAAGAGCAACGGGTGAAATATGTGTGCCAGTCGTGTCTCTCTGGGAGGTTCCACCCCACTGACCTCCACATTCATCCTACCAGCTAGAACTAGGTCACAGAGCCACCCCCGGATGAAAGGGAGTGGTGGAAGGTGAATAGTTAACTCTGTACGGTGTCACCTTAAACAAAACTGAGTTCTCTTAGCAACACAGAAGGGAAGGCTGGATACTGGCTACATAACTAAAAGTGTCTACCCAAAGGGAAGAAGCATAATCCTATGCGTTTGTAACAAATGTCATGTTTCTGTGTACATGTGTATAGTCCAGCCAGGCTGGCAGAACACTAACTGCTCTCGATCAGCAGACACCTTGTCTGTCAGGACTATAACACCACCCTCTAACTGTTCCCCTGCCTTGCGTCTCATCCCCTGCCATCTCTTACAATGGACATTGGCAAACTTATTCTATAAAAGGCAACGTAGCAAATATGTTAGGCTTTGTGAGCCATATGGCCATTCTCCCACCTCTCTCCAATTCTGCCATTGCTGTGCCAAAACTACTATTGACAATCTTTGAATGAGTATGGCTGTATTCCAGGAAAACATTATCTATGAAGACAGATAGCAGGCTAGATTCAATTCCTCACCATTGTTTGCTGCTTTACAAAATTATTAGCTTTTTATTTCTAAAATCAGAGTTAATGCAAATATCATCCATTTTTAAGCATGGTGTAAACTGGGTTTCTCCCTCCACTAACTTTCATATCACCTTCCGTACACTCACATTACAATGTGCATTATATGCTATTATGACGATTTTTACGTATTTGTTTTTCTGCAATAATGAGGTCATGCACACACACACACACAAACACACTAATAAAATATAATTTCCAATATTTAGACTATGGCTTGCCATAAAATTTCTCTTTCAATAGAATCTTGCTTGCAACCACAGTAGTACAGAGACTTAAAACTTTCTCTCGTTTTTTTTTTTACTACTTTCAGATATTACATTTTTATTTCCTCAACCATATTCATCTCATTAAGAGAAGTTAAGAATATTAGCTATTCTCCATTCCCTTCTGACTCCCAAGCCCTAGGTGAGTACTTGAAATGTTGCTCCCAAGTCCTCAACCCACAGCCTTTGCTAATTCCTTTATACGTCATGATTCTTACTTAGACTGTGCAATATCCTTTTTTACCTTCCAAAGTACCAACGTACACACACCCGTTTTTGCACACACATATGCACACACACACATGCGTCTATTTCAGGATTCATCACCGGTAATGTGTTTCCTCTCTTTGTCATTTTCCTTGACTATTAGATCTCTGTTTTAATTCACTATAATTACTTTCAATTTCAACTATTTTCTCAAATAGTTTTCTCAGTTAGGTAGGATGATGATATACTTTCTGGATCCTACTCCAAATATTTATTTCACCCTGACAGATGAACCATATTGTGAATGAACAAAAGATTTGGGGTTTTGGCCTTTTCTCTGTAGACTGTAAAGGGGATTCAACTGTCTACCAAATTCCAGAATTTCACATGATAAATATGAAATGAATACATTTTTTCTTAGTAGGTAATTTTTAGAAATCTGGTAATGGGCACGCTGCCAGTATGAATCTGGCCTACACAACTTCGGCATGAAGGGTGATAATCAGCTCGATATCTCATGAATATTCATAACCAATAAAAAGAAAAAGAAAGTTTATAAAATTTTCTCTTTATTCTTAGGCTTTAGGAACTTTCCCAGGATTTACCTATGTTTGATTGTTATTCTATTAACCCCTCCTGGAATTTAGAAAGTCTATTAAACTTGTAAATTCAGTGTAATTTTTACCTCACAGAAAAAAATATTATTGTTCCTACCTAAGTCTTTCACGTAAAAGTTTTATGTGTATATTAAAAGCAAGAATTGCAGGTGTTCTCCAGTTTATGATTTTTTTCCCTGAGATTAAGCCATTATCTAAAATTACATGTTCAGAAATTAATTTTAATAAATACTATAATAACTAGTCCCACTTTAAGCCACAGAAAAATATGAAAATACTTCAGATTTCTACACAAGCACACAAAAATAAAAACGGATCTTCAAAATATGACTTTTGGATATTTTTTTTAAATATTAACTATTCAACTATAAAAATGATTTTCTTACCCATATCTGACATTTCAGGCACAGTGACAATGTACGGTCCATCAGTGAATTTTGGAGCATTGTCATTGATGTCTTGTACTTTGATGATGAACTCAGATTCAGGTTCAAGAGGTTTGTTTGTCCGTCTGTCAATAGCCTGGGCATGAAGCACATAATGAGTCTTCTGCTCTCTGTCTAGGCTTTTCGTTGAGTGGATGTCGCCCGTTGTATCATCAATAATAAATATAGTCCCGGCACCTTCTCCAGTAAGGATGTACTTGACAGACCCATCACCTTTGTCAGAATTGGAGTGCAGCTGTAAAATACACATGGAATAATTTTGCATTCAATTGTATTCCAACTTCACATCATGTTCTCTAAAAATTCCCTGTATATAACTTAATACTTAGTTTAAATATGACTTTTCTTTTTCCACAGTATCCTGCGTGTTACTATAATCATTTATTTTTCTCCAGTTTTTCTCCACATGGTATTAATATGGATATTTTTATCATGATTTGTCTTAGATTCAATTATTGATTTAAGAAAAATCAACAAACAATATTTATTTAAAGAAAAATAATAACAATTCTTGTCACCCCACTAAATCAGCATTTCACTAACTACAATAAAGTTGGGAAAAGATACTCCTGGTAGATCACTGTTGCCTTACATAATTATGACAATAACATTTTTGTTTGTTTTTAGCTAATTGTTTGAAATTCTATTTCAATCTTAAAGATAGAAAAAATATATGGTAAGAAAAATTGAGATTCAAATTAATTATTAAAATTTCCATAAAATTTGCCACAGATGCATTAATTTTATAATTTGCTACAAATCAATGGCATTTCTCAAAGGCAGTTATACAAAGGGCCAACAGACATATGAAAAAATGGTCAGCATCACGTAGCATCAGGGAAATGCAAATAAACACCACACTGAGATACCATCTCACCCCAGTTAGACAATCAACAAATGCTGGCAAGGATGCAAAGAAAGAGAACTCTGCTACATTGTTTGTGATATTTTAAATTAGTGACGGCATTATGGAAAACAGTATGTAGGTTCCTCAAACAACTGCAAATAGAACTGCAATATGATCCAGCAATTCCACTCCTGGGAATATACCCAAAGGAATGGAAATCATCATGTTGAAGGGATACCTGCACTCCCATATTTATTGGAGCTCTATTTACAATAGCCAAGAGTTGGAACCAATCTAAGTATCCATCATTAGACAATTGGATAAGAAAAATGTGGAACATTTACGCAACGGAATACTACTCTGCCATAAAAAAAGAATGAAATATTGCCATTCACAGCAGCATGGATGAACTTAGAGAAAATTATGTTAAGTGAAATTAGTCAGGCACAGAAAGAGAAATACCACATCCTCACTCATAAGTGGGAGCTAAATAAATAAATAAATAGAGGTACAAAATGCACAATAACATGTTGAAATTTCAAAAGGAGAAAACAGAACTGAGGTTACCAGAAGTGGGAAAGGGAGAGGGAGAGTTGGGTAAAGTAGGAATTGGTAAAGGGCTAAGAAAATTGATTACATTGTATAATGTTGAATTTACTAATTATTCAAATTTGAGCATCACAGATTTCACATAGGTATTGATATTCAAATATGTACCCCACAGATACGTACAATCAACTATGTTACAATAAAAATATATAAACAAGTTTAAAAAGAATAAAATGAAACTTACAGAAAATAAAAATCCAACAATTTTGAACTATTGTCTAAGTTCTCCTTTAAATTGTATGCATCTGAGCCTCATCAGAAAAAATGCTGAATAATTTTTGCTTTATAACTTTTGATTCGTTAATATTAATTATTAAATTATTAATATTAAAAATTAAATTATTAATATTAAATCATATTTGCCTCATTTGTTAAAAAAACAAATGGAATATTTTCTAATATAAATGCTTAGATTTAGAACAAAAAAACACTAGTGGTAGAGTATTTTTTCTCCTAAAAATATGAAACTTTAACTCAAAATTTCAATAATAGTAATAGATTAAGTTATATGTAGGGCTTAATTTTTAATTAAGTACACTAATGAATTTTTACTTATTCCAGTTAAAATGATCAAATATTCTATTCATTGAATAGATATTAGAAAAGTATTAATTCAGTAGAGAAAAAGCCTTCAATAAGAAAGATAACACATTAAGATTATATAAACTACTTTTTTGTCATTTAAAATATGTACAGTTTAAGTACTTTACATGCCTAAGATTGTGCTATAACTTATAATATCAAAACTCAGTTAAATAGTTCCACGAGAGCCAGTGCTATATGTTCAGCTAGCAATAACTTTAGAATTTTCTCAAATCACAAATATATAAAGAATTGTTTCTCCCAAGAGATCTGAACAGTTATCCTTTATATAAAATCTTTTTGGTCACATACCCTCAACTATTCACCTTTTTCCCATTACTGACACTTGAAAACTGAAAAAATATAACTTTGTTCACATAAGATTTTGGTTCCCTTGCCATAGCAAAGAGAAAATTTTCATTGTTTATTTTAAAGTCTGTGAGCTCTTAGAAGACATTTGAAAAATATAAAATACAGAAAAATACAATACAATATGAGGAAAATATTACTTTTCCAAAAAATGAAGACAAGTAAAACATAAAGGATACTAAATGAGAAATAATTTTACTACTTTCTTGAACACACGTAAGAGCTAACAAGGACAAAATTCTAATAGAAATCACTCAGCAAGATTCAGCAAATGAAATTGTTTCAAAAATGCCTATTTAGATCTTTTACATAAATGAGGATAAATATATCAGCAAAATATGGAAAATGCAACTTTCAAAGATTCATACTTCATTAGTAAATTGGCTACTAAAAGAAGGATTAGGAATAAATTGAGTGCAGATGCTCGTATGCACTTATGAAAAACGTATTTTAGTATGTAGAAGAAAAGATTTATCATTTTTATGAAGTACATACCTACAAAATATCAATAGAGCAGCTTATCTCACCTTCTCTATCTTTGCATCAATCCATGAAAAAAAAAAAAGCAAAATAAAGCAATATTAACCAAATGTTTCTAAAACCTTTTCTGGAACGTTCATCATTAAACTAACAAAAGGTGAGATATGTTGATAATTCTTATGTTGTTCTATATAAATTAATTTATATTTGTTATATATACAATTGTTGTATTTGTTATTATATATACAGTTGTTAGATATACAATTAATTAAAAACACTTTTTGGGAAATATGCCTTCTAATACCTAGTTTCAGACAGACATAACAATGGTGATAATTGATTCATCCGTAGGACATATGTGGTGAACTCCTATATTTTTAGCGAAATTAATTTAATATCATTTAGTTTTGGATTAAATGTTCATATTACAGATACCTAATTGTATTTAAATAAGAACAAGCTTATGTATGTAGACTAGAAACAGAAGTATGCAAAAGAAATATATTACAAAATGTATACACTATACACACACTTTATAGAGATTCTGGTAAGTAATTAAAATAAAAATTTTAAATGCCAGTAATTTTATGGTTTTAGATTTTAAGACCTGAAACTGGCTCCACATTCAAAAACGTTTTATAAACTTTTATAAATCACTTGGCATAAATGTTTCAGAAGTATAATTAGTTTGAATATAGATTGCAATATGATCAGTAAATTGTAATTCAGCAATGTTTGTATTGTTGGGTAATATTAGTAAAAGTTGCACCAATAATTAAAGAATGTATTTAGAATATATTAGTTGTTGATAACATTTAGCTTGACTGTTTAAATAATGTAATCATTTTATTAACAATTTTAAATCTCTCAGCTAGCCTGATTCAATCTTGAAATTATTAGTTTCCATGTCCCACTAATGGGAAACCATTATAGTAGCATTAGTCAATTGATAAATAGTTCACACATTTTTGATGATAACTATCCGTGAAGCAGCCCAGTGATCCACCCTCAGGATTTCCTCTCCCCTACTGCATCTTTTCTCAAATATTCAGTTCTGTTTACAACATAGACTCTGCAACAGAAGTGGAGCCTGAGAGAAACATTGGCTATATTTTCTTGTTTTTTTAAGACCTTAAAGGAGCACATGTTTTATAATAGGTTTGAATGAATGAATAAATAAAAAAAAATTAAGAAAGAAAGAAATGGGCGAGTAGTAATGTAATAGTAATGGAGGCAGAAAACTTGAGAGATGGAGGAAAGGCTCTTGGATACAGGTTAGACAAATAATCATCATAAAAATATGTCATCTTTGAGTGTGGGCAGCAGTGAGACACCAAATGAAAGGTACAGGGCAGAGCATGGAAATTAGAAATACCCTTTTTATAGACATGGTACTGATTTAGTAACCAGTAAAATATTATACCATATGCTTAACTATTTACTCTATTATTTAAGATGGTTGTCCATAATTTTTACAGTAAAATAAGTGAGATTATGTTCAAGATAAAGTTTATTTGGATCATATACAATGAATTCATTTTAGAAGACAGTTAAGTCATACCACCAAGAGAGTAATAGAGGGGCCGCATCATAATGTACAGAGCTGGGAATACACTTACAGAGTCGCGAGAGTTTGCAAAGTAAGTGGTATTTTCATGCTGAGGGACAGATGTTATATTGTCCTATAGCAAGAAGAGATCAGCTTTGTGTAGCACATAGAGAACAGAAAAGGGGGAGAGGGATGAAAAAAGAAAGAAAAGAAAATGTACTCACCCAAAGCAAAAATGAACGTGTCTCTGGCATTACTTTAATAAATTATCTTCTTAGTGTTAAGTAGTAATCTATGGCACTTAGAAAGCTAATGTAACTCACTTGAGTTCCCCCTTGAAAACTTTTTATTCATTCTGGGCCACATTAACATCAAGATCTAAAAATTTATACCTTTCACTCTAAAGCAGAGTTCCTCAATAAAATGATATTCTATCCTTTGGGGAAGAATAACTTTAAAAGGTTAAGAAGATGGTGGTTCAGCCAAAATTTCGAAGTTGCTTTTCATTAGGACTTCAAGCTATGTTAAAAAGATAGGTCATTGACTTAAAACAGTGATATTTTCACTACGTAACTTCAACACTCTTTTATAAGGAAACTTTAAATTTGCAATATTTCAGTGGAGCCAGAAATAAAGGCAGAAATATAAAATAGTAATTCCACTATTATCTTTCTCTCCAACACTTGTTGCATAAAAATATGTGATGCAATGTGAAAGAAATGTGAAGATCACAGGCAATACATGTCACTGAAACATATTATGCATCCTTCATTCCAAAATGTATTATATTCTTAAAGTA